CACACAATTAGTCATTCTTTAAAAAATTAGTTAAAGTAAGAAAATTCAAACCGTAGCAAAACTAGAAGTCAAAGAAATACATTGCTCCTTAAAACTTTGAAGGGAGTCTTATAATAAAGGCCTTAATGATTTAAAAAGAGGATATCGAGGTATAGGATATTGAAAATATTAATCAAGTTGTTACTTTATGCTTCTGTGATTCCTTCTTTTCCACCAAGCCCTGCCACCATTGGAACAAGGACGTGAAGCTGAAGGTGGTTTCTCTTGGGAACAGAGACCACAAAATGAACAAATACGGACAGAACCATTTGCGCTCATGAATCTGAGGTCCAAAATCACGTTGAAAGTTATTCCTGATATTTGAGAGAGGAGAATTGTTCTTCTGTGCTTGTCTTGTGTTTGCAACTACCAAGATTTGGCTTTGACTGTCAGAAGTGTGGAGTTTAGTGAAATCTTTAGGTTAGGAATAAAGCCAAATAACCTAAGAACAGTCTTTGCCCATTGTAAAAGTCATAGACATCTAACAGCCGGTGGGAAGAACCCTAGAGGAGTGGACAGGAGAGGGACAGGAACATCCAGGTGGGCTTGGGAAGCCCAAGGCAGAAAGAAGCAGGGCCTCTGGTTAAACAAGGTATTGAAACATGAATGTGGGTTTTTTTTTTTTTCTATTGCTGTTGTAACAGATCACCACAAATTTAGTAGCTTAAGCAACAACTCATTACCTTACAGTTCTGTGGGTCGAGGTCTGGCTTGGGTCTCATCTGAAATGAGGGCTCAGCAGGGCTTCGTTCCTTGATGCCTCTCCTCCCCGTAGAGGGTTCACTTCTTGGCCATTTAGATTGTCGGCTGAATCCAGTTCCTCAAAGTGGAGGACCAAGAGCCCCATCTCCCTGCTGGCTGCTGGCCGAGGGCTCCTCTCAGCCTCTAGGAGCTACCCACGTTGCTTGGTCTCCCTGTTTAGGGGCAGGGACAGCAAGTTGAGCCTTTCCCACACTTCACATCTCTCCCTCTGGCTCATCTCTCTGACCCACTGGAGCAGAGAAAAGCTCTCTGCTCTTGGGAGTCACGATTTCATTGGGTTGACTGCAGCAGCCAGTCGGAGCCCCCGGGCAAGCCGTGCATGTCCACTGTCCTGCTTCTCTCCTACCCTGGAAGCAATCAGACTTCGTGAAGAAGCAACGCGGGAGCTGGGGCACCATTAGAAAGGGGTTAATGGACAGAGCTGTGCTTTCCTGTTACTGAACATAAAAGGAAGAAC